TATCAGAGGGGTAGCCGTGTTAGTCTGAATCTGTAAAAAGCAACAGAGGGTCCTGTGGCACCTTTGAGACTAACAGAAGGGGAAGGGTTGCAGTCCCCGGTCGGGCCAGACAATCCCTGTCCTAGAGCGCGGCTGGGAGGCGGTCACACGGTGACTGCGCGAGCAGGAAGGAGGGTGGTGTGTCGCCCCCTTGCTGTGTTGACAGCATGCTGTGAGCAGATGTCCAGGAGTGACTGGCTGGAGGGTGGTGTGCTGTCTTCGTGCAAGTTTATAGTACTCAAGTATAGTACAAATGAAAGCGTGAAATGATTGTGGGAAAACTAGACTAAGAGGAAAAAGACACTGGCATCATGTTAGGAGCTAGAAATGTTTTACTCTGTAAGAGGCAATAGATAGGAGAAAATTCCTTCCTGGCCCTAAATGTAGTGGTCAGCTAGATCCTTAGCATGTAGACAAGACACACCAGACAAATAAGTGGGAAAAAATTTGCTGTGGTAAGGTTTCATGGTAATCAGGGCTGGCTCCAGGCACCAGCGTAGCAAGCAGGTGCCTGGGGCAGCCAATGAAGAGGGAGGCAGCATGTCCGTCACTCCCTCTGGGAGCGAACGACCTCCCGCCGAATTGCCGCCAATCGCGATCGCGGCTTTTTTTGTGTGTGTGTGCTTGGGGGGGGCAAAAACGCTAGAGCCGGCCCGGATGGTAATCATTCACCTTTCCCCATAAACACTGTACTGAGTGATGTCAAGTAAAGGAATAAAGTTAGAAAGGGTTACAAGTAACTAAGTTAAAACATGAATCTAAAATTTAATCTCGCAAGGTACAGACTTTGTTCAAGATGATTTCTCACACCAGTCATTCTTCTTCCCAGCCATGGCTAATTTTCACTCAGGGCCTTCCACAGAAGTACAGGGCACTGGTTCCCTTGTCTTCCAAGGTTTCTCACCTGTATCAGTTTCCAGAGACTTCAACCCCTGCCACCTTGGTTGAAGGACCTTGCTCAGCTTGCAAGAGCTCTGGTCCCTTGCGTCCAATGCAGAGGTTCTCAAACTGTGGTCTGTGGACCACCAGTGGTCCACAAAC